CATGTTGTGCGAGACAAGACAGACCTAGTGTTTGGTCCTCTCTATTCCGCCCACATCTGTTTTCTCAGCTTGCTAACTCCAAGCCTTCACTGACGTCTACCTTTCCCTTCAAACATCAAGGTGCCTCTCCTGACAGATGGCACTGGGCGGCTTCAGGAAGCCTCTCAAAAGGTGCAGAGGGTGCCGAGGACATCACAGAAAAGACACGGCACACACAACCCACCCTTATTTCTCAAGATGATAAGAATCAAATGCCTTGCTATTATGAAAAACAAAATTTCATTTTGCACAGAAAAATATCCCAAGCATCACAACCAATTTGGCTGTATAAATCTTAAAATGAGGCTCACTTCTTCAGATCCTTATCTTAGAACCCATTAATCTCATTTGCAGCCCCTTCTCTTAGACTAAGCAAGAGTGGAACAGGCAGCAGCTGCTACTGTCCCACAGGCTCGTGTTCTGTGAGGGAGTGGGAGCTGTGCTGGAGGTTCCCACAGAGCCTGGGGTGACAGGGCAGGTCTGAGAGCCTGGGAGCTCTCCAGGGAGGTGACACACATCCTCACCCCACCTCAAGGCACTTGCAAGCCTCTGTCTTCACCACTTTTCATCATAGACACCTGAACTTGACAGAGAAATTCCTTCCAGGACAAAGCTGATGTCCTATTGTCCCAGAAACTCAAGGCTTCCGCAGTGTCAGGAACTTGCCATGTGCTCAGGGTTTTCGACTGATAAAGGGTCTCAAGTTAAAAGAAGTGTAAATATTCCCCACGCTGCGCACTGTTTTCTAGTTTCTGATGTGCTAGTGCAGTGCATCTCTGGTCACTTTAACATCTGAATCCACCTTAAAACTCAGCTCAGCAGTACTGTTCTCCTTCCCAGAAGTGATGTTCTTCAGTGGTTAATTCTGTAAAGTTCTCAAATAGCGTCTACTATAACTCTTAGACTCTCATAGTGTGTTTGTGCAAACATTAACACAAAAGGAAAAAAAAAAATCTCCTCTGCCAAATCTGTGAGAAATCAGAGGTAGCACAGCAGGGAGCAACACCCTGCTGTCAGAGACCCCACTCAGGCCTGCTTCCTTAGCCTCAGTAGTCTCGATTCCTCTCAAATTAAGGTTCTAGATGATGCCAAGTACAATGGCACACGCCTGTAATCCCAGTGGCTTGGGAAGCTGAGGCAGGAGGATCACAAGTTTGAAGCCAGCTTCAGCAACTTAGTGAGGCCCCAAGCAACTTAGTGAGACCCTGTCTCAAAATAAAACACAAAACATGCTGGGGATGTGGGTCAGTACTTAAGTGCCTCTGGGTTCAATCCCCAACCTCCCCCTCCAAAATCCAATGTGCACTGTGATCCTCTCCAACTTTAAAGTCTATAAGTTGTCAAATCATGTCACTATGCCCATGCTTTAAAGAGGCATGCCTGCTCAGGGGTAGCCTGACACGTGTGAGGCACTGGGTTCAATCATCATAAAAATAAATTAAAGGTATTGTGTCCATCTACAACCAAAATAAATTTAGAAAAATTTTCTAAAACAGAGGCAGGCCTGCTTTCTTGTTCGACACAACTGAGAGGGAAAGGATGTCTTCAAAACAAAACTCAAAGCTCCCCCACTGAGTCTGAGACTCACTCTATGTACAAACTATAAATCCATGGAAGAAAAGACAGAAAATGAAGTACCTCACAAGACAACTGATCTTACTGTGGGGAAAAACGTCATGACAGAGGAAGTAAAGGTGAAAGGCAGGACTGCCAGTCCTCTCCTGTTCAGGAACAGATGCCCTAACCACGTACGGCTGGGCTTCTGGGAGGCCCAAGATCCCCAGGGCTCTAAGAACAGGGTGGGAAAGCCCCTCTGCTCCCCACTGCCCACACAGGCACTTACTGGTGTGTATCAGCAGGTGTCTCTGCAAGGAAAAGGGCGTCCGGAACAAAGCTTTGCACTCCTCACACTGGAAGGGCCTCTCCTGGGAGTGGGTCTGCAGAAGAGAAACATCAGAGTCAGGAGAAGGGCAGGCCAGCGGTCACTGCAGAGCAGAACAGGGAGGCACAATGCCAAGGGGTGGAGAGGAAGGAGCGGGTGTCCTGGCTGTTGCAGCACCATTCTCCCGCCACTCAAACATGGGGCTGTGCGCACAGGCACAAAACAGGCGCACCATCGAACCCTTACATTAGTCAAAAATGTGGTAAATAGCCAAGAAAATTGCTCCTGCTATCTTAAGTTGCTAATCTGAACACGATAACTTCCCTGGTTCTATTCTGCTTGGATCTACTCTGCAGAGTGAATGGTGGGCGCCCCCTCTCAAGACTCAACCTCCTGTAGCCAGGTGTGAACTACACTGGGACACTCTGGCCCTCTTCCCCTGAGCTGAAGCTTCCCTGAATGATTCCCAGCCCTCAGCAGGCAGCAGGCCTCGGTGCTGCCCATCCCCATGTTACACCGGGGAAGGGGATATGCTCTGGTTAAGCCTATTTGACAGCTGCTAGATATTTAGCTTGTGTCAAATGCTAGGTGAACCCCTCATAGGAATCACTTCAATTAATTCCAACAGCAACTGGACTAATGAAACGCTGCTGTTGTCACCATTTTACAGAGAGAAAAGGAAGGCTTGAAAGGTGTCATTAACTATCCAAGATCAAGCAGTGTGGAGGCACAGGCACACGGGAAGTAAGGGCACACTGATAAGCAGCAGCAGGGCAGGCCCCCATCAGATCTCAAACCCGGAGACAGAGACACAGGGCAGCTTCCGCCCCTGCTTTCTGTTCCACGCAGGATAAGCCCATGGAGCACACCGTGTGAAAGGAGGTTCATTCTGCCATGGATGGCAGGATGAGAAGGGCCATAATTTCAAAAGAAAAAAAACTGAACTAGACTCTTATTACAATAAAGGAGACCACCTGAGTTCCGTGATATATGTGGTACAAAAATACAGAGAATACTTTTTTAAAGTCACTTTATGCACACCAGATTGCTTAAAATTTTCGTAGCTTAATGGCCAGTCTAAAACACAAGGTCCAAGCATCATCTATTAACACAACATTGGTAATAAAGTGATTACTACACTGTTTTCAGTTGTGAAAAATATAAAGGATGGAAAAAATGGACATTAAAGTTAAGGATAAATCAAAGAAAATCCAATGTATTCTTTAGCCACAGAATTCTTTAGCACCAAAGTTAAAATGAAAGCATGGAAACAGATGAATGGAACACAGCACTAATGAGGACTTTTCCCTGGTTACACAGAACATGTGAACACCCAGGGCGGGAGTGGGCGCTGCTCAACAGGGAACAAGCCCAACCGCTAGCTGAAGGGCTGGGAGCCGCCCTGTGGACGTTCAAGGACAAGGCCAGGCCTGTTCTCACTCCTTACATTAAGATTCACACGGATCCAGCTCGCTTTAAGAACAAAACCTAAAGGTGCTGGAAGAAAGTATGAATGGATTTTTAAATAATTTTTGAGTGGAGAAAGGCTTTGTAATCATGGTAGAGAACCAGGTGTTCAGATAACAGAAATAAATGAACTCAAAACTGCAAAGTGAGACTATTCAGTGACAGGCAAAGGAAATATCTGCAGCAGAAAATAAGAGCTTGATGTTGTGAATGCAGAGAGTTATGCATAGCAGCAAGGAGAGGTGAGCTCCAGAAGAACGTCAGCAGCCAGCTCGCTCCAGGTGGCCCTGGAACATTGCTTGTCACATGATGCCACCTGTCTAGGCTGTGTACCTCGGGGCACTGCGTGCTGGTTCTGGCTGTGATGACAGGGAAACAGCAGCAAAGAGAAAAGACATAGTTCCTGCTACCCTGGAGTGGATCGCTGGTGGGGAAAGAGCCAGGGGAGTGACCTGTCAGGGAGGCACACCTGCACGGAGAATGGGCAGGAAGAGGTTAGATGGCCAGCGCTGCAGACAATAGGCTGGGACTCTGCAGGGAGGCCAGCAAGGGCAGGGGTCTGGGCCCAGGTGGGAAGCAGCCAGGGGGCCCGCCTGGTGCAGCACAGGAAGAGCAGGGAAAAGGGAAGACCCACAGAGGACCAGGGGGAGGCAGAGATGAGGCATGTAGGATGTGCTCTGCCAAGAGAGACGATCGTGTCCAGGGTTTGGGCAGCTGAGTGGCAACTCTTGCTTCACACTTAACAGAATGCCATGGTGACCATGTTGGGAACAGGACACGGGGATCACAAAGAGCAGAAAAACTGGAGAAGAGTGGCAATAAACCAGCCAGTGGAGCTATCACTGAAGGTCCAAAAGCGTGTGCATGGCAGGGTGCCATGTGTCCTGGAGAAGGAGGAGGCTGCAGGGAGGGACAAGGACACAGAGGGAGCAGCATGACTTTAGGGTCTGCAGCCAAGTCATGCAGCCATGGATGGCCACTAGCAGACATGAGGGCCATCAGGCACCAAGTGGGTCCACAAAGACCAGCAGTCCATCTGGCCAAGTTCAGGTGTCTAGAAGGCAGGAAAACACTTCCAGTATGGACTACAGGATTCCAAGGTATCTACACTACACATGGTACTAATATTTAATTCTCAAATACAATGAAAAAGTGGAAAATTAGAAGCAAAGATAGTATCTCAGCTGCCAAACATGAAGAAAAGGGGCATCTTTCAGGGCTGGCTGAAAGTGGGGCAGTCTCACCTGCTGTACCTGGGCTGCCAGCCTTCTGGGGGCAGGGTAGCACTCTGCACCAAAGGACAAACACACACCCCACCTAGCCAGCTGCCTCTGCAGAAACACATCTGACAAGTGTTCAAACAAATTTTTACAAAAGGAAAATGCCTCAATGCCCACAAAAGATGTAAATGTGGTTAATTAAATTATAGTGGAACTCAAAATTTCAAAGTGAGACTCTTTAGTGACAGGCAAAGGAAATATCTGCAGCAGAAAATAAGAGCTTGATGTTGCAAATGCTGAGAGCTCTGCTTAGCAGCAAGGAGAGGGGAGCTCCAGAAGAACAATAGGAAAACAGTCACAAAACTAGTAAAAATAACTCAAGATAAAACAAATTATGATTGTACTTTTCCTTTCTTTAATAAGGAAAGTCATCTGTAACATGTTTTGAGTGTCAAAAGTAGAAGTCAAACATTATGCATGGAGGACCACACTCTGCACACTCTGGAGAGATGGAGCCAGGGAGGGCTCTGCGGAACACCTAGAAGGGCTGGGAGCAGGAGGCGGCGGCTGTTCCACACAGCATTTGCATTCTTCTTATACTTTTTTATTCATTTACTTATTTTTGATGTTTGGACTTTTTACAGTAGATAGAACTATTACCAAAAGATTTTTTTTTAGAGTATTCCACCTGAAACACGGGATTGCTTTGATCTTCCAAACACACCATATTTCCTCCTGATCAGTCTTCTCTTTTTCCAAATCTAGGACAAAGAAATCCTATGGAAATTATTTCTCAGCGAAGGCCAGCAATACATCTTAGGCAGCCCACTAGCAGCAGGCAGACGGCAAGCAACTGCTCTTGTCAAGAACCATCCAGCAGCACCACCAGCCAGGCCACAGCACCTGTGGGAGAGCAGGCAGAGAAATGGTGCTGGAGGGACATGTGAGAATGGAGGTAGCACAATGCTGGCACATTGAGAGGAGAGAACTTTTGTGTCCAGCAGAAGGTATTTAACTTTTGTGTCCACCAGATGAAATTAAGCTTTTTTAGAAGTGTCTAATCCTTGAGTTTTTCATCTATAATGAGTGCCAAACTTTCCACTGATTTATTATCAGAAGGTCCTATGATAAGCAGCAGAACATCCCTGTTCAGGCGCCAAGTCCCTGGTGATACCACATCTGCCAAGGTGACAAATGAACTAGCCCTGGGCGAGTGCCATGAAACCTATCTCTTCCTATGCCAGCTACTGCAATGCACCAAGTCTGATGACTATTCCAGACGTAGAAAATGCTAGGAAATATGCAACTGTTGAAATGTCGCAGAATGCTTCAGGAGGTCTTTCCCATAATGTACAATAATTAGAAGATTAGTACCTTCCTAGTCACACAGCTCAAACATTTATTTCATGACGGTAGAATAAAATTTTTATCAGCACTATTCACCATTAAAAATTACAACCCTGGGGCTAGGGCTGGGGCTCAGTGGTAGAGCACTCGCCTAGCATGCATGAGGCACCGGGTTCAATCCTCAGCACCACATAAAAATAAAATAAAGATACTGTGTCCACCTAAAACAAAAAAAAATAAATAAATTTTTTAAAAAATTACAACCTCAACTTTCAATAATATGTACTGCTCCACAGTAACAATATTTACTGTTAGTGGCATTTTTTTCTTTGGGCTATCTATGTTGCAGGAAAACAATCACAAGACTAGTAAAATTAACTAAAGATAAAATAAATTTGGAGCAAATATATATTTGTTACAAATATTCTTTTTAAAAAGGAGTTTTGCTGGTGAAGATGTTTTGTTGGTGAAGACCCAAGCCTGCATATCATAAGCACATTACTGTCCCACTGAGCCCCATAATGAGCCTAAAGCTATATAAATATGTGCTATCTGGCTGTTTACACAGATTGTGGATCAAAATTTTACTGTCAAATTTATAACTGGCTACTTTAAATGGCCTCCTCCTCTGAAAACTAAATTGAACTGAGAAAGATAATGAGAAATACACAAGTTCTTGCAGTAAGGAGCCGCTCATTCCACACTGCGGAGTTGGGAGTGTGTTCCAGTGGTGCTCCCACAGAAGCACATCCTTGCACAGCCAGCCCAACAATCCCTGCCTGAGAGCTAGAACCCCGTTTCATACACCCCATAGCCTTGAGTGTGCCCCGAGCAGGGCAGGGGATTCACCAAGAAGAGGAACAGCAATGGGCTATCAGAGCAGCCTGGGAAGGAAGCAGCTTAGACCCGCCCAGGGAGCGCCCCTCCATGGCACTGCCAGGACTCTGATCCAGGACGTTTCAACAAGCCCCACTTGGACCACACATGGCCTCTAGGGGGTGAGCACCATGGCTTCCAAGTACTGCCTCTTTGTGACAGCCATGGTAATCACAGCTAATGTAGATCCACACAGACGCTCTTTGAATTGATGCCCACAGGACCTGAGGACATCACACAGCTGTGCAGGTAACAGATATCTCTGGCTTCCACTCTTGAAGGAACAGGGCTCAACTCATCGCAGCAGCTGAAGAGCAGAACTTTCTGCATGACACAGGCATCTGTGTTATGGCTCACAGTGATGGCGCCAGCCTTCCACTGGACAGTTTGTCTAGGCAGCACGCCTCAGATTCAGATTCATGTGCCATCCATGGACAATCACGTTTAGGTTCCCAAAGCCAGCACACCAACAGCAGCGAAGCAATCTCTGTCCTGTTGAAAACACTGACCTTCCAAATATTAATGCCAATTCTTGAAAAGGAAATTATTTCCTATATAAGTCCCTGGAGTTTTTACAGATACTAAGATGATAATATTTGGTGAATATTCGATCAGGTGAAAATAGAACACACAGAGAGAAAGAGAGAGAGAGTGTGTGTGTGTTTGTGTGTGTAGTATGTGTGTAGTGTATGTATATGTGTGGTGTGTGTGGTGGGGAGGTGCGGTGTACATTTTGTGTGTATAGTATAGTGTATGTATGTGTATGGTGTAGCGTATGTATGAATGTGTGTGGTGTATGTTTATATGTGTGGTATGGTATGTGAGTAGTACAGCATATGTATGGTGTAGTATGTATGCGTGCAGTATAGTGTGTGTGTAGTGTATAGATGCGTGTATGGTGTGGTGTATATATGTGTGGTATAGTGTTTGTGTTGTGTATGTGGTGTGGTGTATGTATATGTGTGGTATGGTGTTGTGTGTGTGTGGTGTGGTGTGTGGGGGGTGTGGTATGGTGTTGTGTGTGTGTGGTGTGGTGTGTGTGGTGTGTTGTGTATGGGGGGTGTGGTATGGTGTGTGTGGTGTGTTGTGTATGGGGGGTGTGGTATGGTGTGTGTACAGTGTAGCATATGTGTGTGTGTGTGTGGTGTAGTGTTGTGTGTGTATGGTATGGTGTGTGTGTGCATGCGCACGCATGCATGATCAAGTCACCCCCCCCAGTTTGCTCAAGTGTGGCCGCTGCCCGAGGACACATTCCCTCTTACTGTGCTAAGCCCCACCATGATCTCTTGCTCTAGCTAAATGAAGTTTTCTCAATCCTCTCATTTAATCTTCTAAGGACAGAATGTGGCAGGGAGAGGGATCAGCCCTGCTGTGGAAATGCAGATGGACATGGGTGAAATGGAACATCCAGGGCTGGAGAATGAAGTTGCTGACCACAGAGAAACATGAACCATGGTTTAATTTCTTGCTTTTTCTGCCAAAAATGAAAAACAATGGCCCGCCCCTTTATGAACCTACTCATGCACAGGGGAAGTGTCTACATGAAGAACTTTGTGAAGCAGGTTGTTTTTACTATAGGCTACCCATCTCCAGGAAGATGGAAAGGAAGGCGTAGTAGTCTGCTTGTCAAAAGTAACCTGTCTGGAACACCACAGGAGAGGGTGCTCACAGAGAGAAACCACAAAGATCCTCCCTAGCAGAAATTAAAACACTCTACAAATTGCAATTAATAAGACAGTAGGATGTTGCAAAACAGAATGGAATCCAAAAATAGGGTTTTTGTACTTTAGGAGTTTTATACATCAATATTTCATTCTATTCCTAAAAATAATAAACTCTGGAGGGTTAAAAAACCAACAAAAACATGAACTGGTATAACTTTTAAAAACACTGATGAATATTAGCCTAATCTTGGAGCAAAAAGTTTTGCAAATGAGACATTAAATACAGAAGCTACAGACTCAGAAGCCGAAAGTCCATGGTGCATATAATAATTCACAAAATAAAAAGGTAAAACTGTTTTACCATAAAGATGAAAGTTAGTCAGTGGGGGGCAAGAATTTGAAATAAAAATAGCAAAGGATTAACACCTGTGGCATGTGCACAACTCCTGGAAATCACTGAGAGGCAGCCAGTAGTGCAATTTAAAAAGAAAGGGGGGCGGGGCAGGGGCCAAAAAGCATATATGGGAACTTTTCTGAGGTGGAAAATAAATTTATAAAAGAAGCACAACTTTACCATCATTGCCAAAATGCAAGGAGAGTCCCTTTTCAGTTCTGAGACAGTGAAAAGATGGCACCACCAGACGCTGGCGCTGGTGCAGACGCAGGTGCTTTCCTACAGAGCTAGGAAAGAGCCGCTTCAGAAGGCAGCGGGAAGTGCAGAGGGTAAAACGCGCTCAGCATTAACCCAGAAATCCCATACTCGAGGCCCATGTGCAGAGGGGCCATCGCACACTGAGGGCTCCATACAGAAGCAGGTTCACTGTGCTCTATCCACAGCCTTGGCAGCCAAACTCTGTGCGGCTGAAGGGCACAGTCCTGTGGGCGGAGCCTGCTCCCTAGCGACACCATCAACTCTCAACACCTGTTTCCCAGGTGGGCAGCTGACTCTTGGACTCTCCTCCAAGCCACACCCTCTCCCACAGACAAGGCTGTGAAATGTGAAGGTGAGAGGAGGAAGGCCCTGGCCCTTGGGACTGGTCTCCAGGAAATGCCACACGTGACCCGACACTATGATGTGGTGTCCCCTTCCCTCCGACCCCTCCAGAGCCTGCCACTCCACCAGCAGTCCTTGCTGTTCCTCAGCATTCCCAGGCTGGAGTCCTCACCCAAGGTGACAGTAGTAAGGGTGGCCTTGGGTAACTCCCAACTGGGGTCAGAGTCCTTGTAGGGAACACCCACACTGCACCTGCCCCCTGCCCTGGGAGGATGCAGCACAGGGCCACCTGCAAGCCAGGAGGAACCAGAACCACCAGCACCCTTAGGTGTAGGGTAGTGAGAAGCAGGTGGTCACAGACAGGGCTCCAGTCAGGGTGCCTTGTGGGGCAGCCCAGGAACCCGCCTGCCCTTCTGTGACCCTCCACTCAGACCTCCAACACAGAGGGACCTCCAGTGGGGGCAGGCCTGAAGTGGGGCAGGGGGCCGAGGAGGCGCTGCAAATTAGTCACCGGAGCAGGCCCTTGGGACCTGTCACAGAAGCACCATCACTCCGGTCTTTTTCCTCCAGGCTGTAAGGAGGTTCAGGAGTTGGGGGACGTGGGCCAGCAGGTGCACGGTGGAGAGCTGGGAAGGAGGGCTCTCGAGTGAAGTCAGGAGCCTCAGGGTAAGGAAAGGGGATGGGAAATGAGAGCAGCACAGGGTGCTTACACCTAGGGCTCCAGGAGCACCTGGGGTCTTCAGGCTGCCTAACTCACCCACGAGGAAGTGGGACTGTGATTTACCAGAATGCCACATGACCACCGGCATGTCGGCCAGTCCAGGGAAAGTCAGGTAGGCCAGCCAGCGATGCATGTCACGCACTGACACCCAGACCTGGGGCACCACCTGCCACAGCGACCTCAGCCTAGAGTGCTGGCTCTTCTGGGGTCACTTCTCAGGGCTTTCACTGGGTCATCATCACCCTTCACATTCAGCATGTGATGCGTAAGTCGGTATAGCATCTCTCTCCCGGGCCGTCTCAGGAAAGAAGAGCATATGTCAGGAGAACCTCGCACATGGTCAGGATCTGAGCGAGCTCAGCCAAAGGACAACAGCATGCAGCCTACCAGAAAGCCTCAGAGGAGAACAGCCACCTGAAGGGCAGCCCAGGAGGGGCACACGCCCAAGGGGAATGAAGCCAAGTGTCCCCAAGGCACCCAGGCACCCATGCTCACTGCAGGTTCAACCTGAGAGGCCATCGGCGGATGAGCAGGTAAGGAAATGTGGTATACACACACATGGAATAACAAGCAACCTTTGAGGAGAGGGACATCTGCCACCTATGATATGGGGGACACTGTACCAAGTAAAACAAGCCAAGCGCAGGAAGACTGAAGTCAGGGGCCTCAGGGTAAAGAAACCACAGCGTGATGGCACTTCTGTGTGGACCTAAAAGCCATGTACACAGGCACAGAGCACTGCAGGAAGGAGGGAGTGCAGAGGTGCAGCTGGAGGAGGGGAGGCTGCGACGACGACGATGACGATGATGATGATGATGATGATGATGTAGGTGCTCCTGAATGCCAAGAGCGGGGCTCTTTATATGTGTGCACTGTGCAATATCACACTGGGAGCACACCCTGGAGCAACAACGTCAAGCTGGTTAGCACCCCCATCACCCTGCACGCTAGCTGTCTGTGGTGAGGCCACTCAGAATCAAAATAGACCTCAGACCAGGAAACACCCAAGACAGCTCTGTCAGGCGGTGGCTGTGCTAACTAGCCAGACTGGTAGTCACTGTACACCGCATCTGCATATGAAAACACATTTACACCACAGACCTACACATATTTTGGCAACTATTCCTCAATAATGAATAAAAAAAAAACACATTTAAATTTTTAAAACAAATTGAACATTATTATCTCATCATAATAATAATGAGAACATTATTATCTCATTCCAACTTAAACAAGGTAAGGGACTTGCCATTAGAACTTGGATAAGGACGGCAACTGTGCCCCTCAGAGCTTGGGTCCCTCAGCTGGAGATGGCCTGTGCACGCACACAGAGGCAGACACAGCTCCACCTGAGCCGCTGAGTGCCCATGTCCTGGCCACAGGGCAGCCATGCTGCCATCACCAAGGCTGTCTCCACCTCGCACCTCATCTCTCAGGTTTGGGACGCCAGCTCATGACCTTTGGGGGAGGGGTCTGTCCTGTTCTAAGACCTAACGGAATTTCACCTAAGCAATTTGATGGACATGAAAAATTTTTTTTTCTTTTCTGTTTTGTTCTTTTTTGGGGAGGTGGGAGACAGTTCCAGGAACCAAACCTAGAGCCTTTGCTTGCTAGACAAGCCCCCTATCACTAAGCCACACCCCAGCCCCAAAGGAATATCCCTTAATCAAAATTCAACACACATGCAGGCACACATATATTATTTCATAAGTGATCCTAACTCGTACCCTTTCTATTTTTTAGTGGCTATTCAGGACCTCTAGTAAATTGGTTCCTAAGCTGGCCGTGGTGTAAAATTCACTACGACTGGATGAACACTGCCCTGAGGGGCCCAGTACAATCACTGCAAGAAAAGCTGTGACTAGTCATCCTTGGTGGCTGCTATAGTACCACCCTGGAAGGCCCCAACGGTCTGAAAGGTAGGCCTTTCTCTGACAGACACACACCCAGCCCTGGGGATTATCCATGCATTAACCCTCTGCACCTCCATCCTGCGTGGGAGGCAGGAGGCTACAGGTGCACCTGTTCCTTGCATTAAGTTTGAGAGGGAACGGAAGGCAGAGGAGGGTTAGCTATCTCCAGTGGTCCTGAACTTACTCAACTGAGATTTACATCATCAAAATAGAGCTGGAGCCAGAGAAATTATTTTTTTAAACTAGATCTTGATTTACAACTCCAGATCAAGTGAATATCAGAAAGGATGGGGTGTAGGAAGACTCACCGTGACCTACTGAGCCTACACTGTGGGCAAGGCGACAGAATTAGTGGCTGTGGTTCATTTTTGTCTTCCCCTTTTTATTGGTTCTTTTTAGTTACATATAATGTTGGAATTCATCTTGACATAATCACAAAGGCATGGCATATGATTTGGTCTGATTCAGTCCCCAGTACTTCCCCTTCCCCCACCTTCCCTCTACTGATCTTTCTGCTGTTTACTAATAGTTGTTTTGTCTGTTTGTCTATTTGTTGTTTCTGGGTCTAGGGGACCTGCATGAGGGTGAGTCTCACGGTGGTACACCCACACGTACACAGGAAAGTCAGGTGAGACTACTCCTTTTGCTGTTCTTCCCTCATCCCATCCCTTCTCCCTCTCCCTAAATCTCCTTCATCTAGTTCACTGACGTTTCTGTTTTGATAGAATTCCCTACCCCACCCCTTTTCCCTTTGTCTCTTGCTCTGTTTCTGTCTCTCTCATTCCTTACTTTGGACTAATTTCCACATTGCAGAGAAAACATTCAACCTTTGATATTTGGGGTCTAACTTATCTCACTTAACATGATAGTCTCTAGTCCATCCATTTACCAGCAAATGCCATAATTTCATTCTTCTTCATGGTGCTAAATTTTTAAATAGAAACCATTCCTTGAAACTTCACTATATAATGAATGATAATGTTCTTTTTTCAAGTAAATCTAAATGATAGAAGATAAGAATTGGCCCAAAATAAGACAAGTATAATGAAAATGCACAGCAAACCAAATACATACCCAGCAAACCAAAAGAACATTTAATTTATTTACAATAACAAACCTTGGGCCTGGGACATAATGAAGAGCTGATGGACTCTTAATGGTTTTTCTTCTGAGTTCCTTGGCACATCCTTATTCTGAAGTCTCCTAACTAGCCATGAATGAATAATGGTAGAAGAAAAGCTTGATTCCTTTCTCACATGATTCTTGGAGAACTAGTTCAGATATTTTCACATAACCATAACAAACACACAGCGGATCAGCACACCATCAGGAACACATATGTCAAGGGCAGAGGATTGAATGTGCTTCCATGCAGGAAGGTCAGCCACCATGCCTCTGCCTTTCCAAGGCATCACCAGTACTTTCACGTGATTTATGACTGAGGGCATGAGAGACGGTGCAAAGATCCTATGCCGAATTCCCACATGGCACATAACACAGCCAAACTGTGAAAATCTCATAAACGTGGGTGGATCAGTTTCATCGAGAAAGGAGCTGGAAGTTCCAGAGAGTGAGCAGGAAACCGGCCAGAGAGTTTTTTACAGCCATGCAATTCCAGAGCAGTGGCAATGCACGCAGCTCTCCCTGCACACATAACACCTGGGCTAGACACATGGGCAGAATGCAGGGACAGGCGGAGACAAGGAATACTATCAACAGTCTGGCTGAGTCTCCAGTAAACTGAAACTGCTGTCATAATTTTTAAAATGATTTCAAAGGAGGTCAAGTCATGTCTTTGGAAAGTCCCTCATAAATACACTGAGGTCACTATAATCCCCATAGAATACCGAAGGTGAAAAAATAAATAATGAGCTGTTTTAAAGAGACGGTATGAGGTTACATAATAGCAAACATTCGTCACATCACAAGTATGTTTTCACATGGATTTTTAGGACCTTGAGTATCTTTGGACACGTTTCCTGAATTTGACTCAAACACTATTTATCATCCTCACAAAACAGATAAAACAAATGTGTTCTGCAACAAGAACTGGAGCAAAGGTCAAGGGTAAGATGGGAAATCAGCAGAACCAGCTAGGAGACCACGATGTGAGGAGGGAGAGGGAAGCCAGCCTGCAGCTGCTCCAGGGGGCTGCACAGAACCCTGAGCAGCAGCAGGGCAGGCACTACACACAGTGAGCATGGGAACCCCACTTGTCACTGGGAGTCATGACAAGGCTGGACTTGG